ACACAGAGTGAAGTCATTTATGTAAATTTTAAATGAATATAAAAATAATACCATCCAGTGTTCATAGATACGTGTGCGTGTAAAACCAGAGAAAACGGAAGAACACACAGAAGTTCATGATAATGACAATGTTTAGGCGTCGAGTCTGTGACTAGAAGCTGGGGATAAAGAAGACTTCAATTTAATTACTATGACTTTATTTCTTTTCTATAAAAATATAAAAAACAGCAGTGCCATTTCTGGATGTGAGGAAAAGGTGCGTGCTACATATAGCATTCTTTTCTGCATTAAAAGAAATCTTCTCAAAACAAAAAATAAAAGTGCATGAGCAGCAACGACTTAGGCAGATGTATGTTGACCAGCAATCCTTCCCAGATCCCATGGGACAAGTCAGGTGGTACCATGTGCAACTCAGAAACCGAGGCAGCCCAACCTGTTAGGCCTTTAGTGTCTAGCTCTGTGCTCTCCAGTATGGTAGTCACCAGCCACGTGCAGCTCATTGAACTTAAATTAAAATTAAAGAGAATTAAAATTTCAGTTCCTTTATTGCACTAGCCACATTTCAAATGCTGAATAGCCACCTGGGGCTAGTGGCTGTTGTACTGACAGCCCACTTAGAGAACGTTTCTGTCATTGCTGCATTGGACAGCGCTGGTCTTGAGCTGACAATCTGTCTTTTCAGCAACTAGAACATTTCAGTCCCGTTGCTCTTTCTCCAATATGTCCTTCTGCACAGAGGAAAACCAAGGTAATGACTTGGAGGATTTTTTAAATTTCTGGAAAGAATATGTCCACTATAATCCTAAATTACAATTATGTCTGAAGTAACACTTTCCTGTTAAAGAGAATTAGATAAACCATCTTTTGAAAGAGATCTAGCAATCATCTATAGTTACATAAATAGCATATCTCATTTTCCCCAAAACTTAGGAAGTAGGAAGATAGGTTGAAGTACTGATGAAAGCGTTACCCAAATAAAACTTAGAATATGAGTTCAGAAGTTTTCCAAGAGCCTGTGTTTCTCACCTGTACACAGTATGAGGGACGTACACTTCTCGTATTGGAAATTCCAAAATCTCTTTGTGTGGACGTGTCCGGTTTTCAGGAAAGGGTCTCACAGGCAACATCTCAGGAGTCAGACAACAATTGATTGTCTCTGGAGCTGAAGAAATCTCCAGCTTGAGTGAGACTAAAGAGAGAAAATAGGGCTGTTTTAGTAAAGAAATTGTCATGTCATGAGGGAATCAAGAATGATTGTCGTACTGTATTCCTTTTATGAAAATAGGATGAATTGTGATAGCATCAAAGTTTTGGAGCTAATTTCCTTTAGTTGGAAAAAAAAAAGTGTGCTGTGATAGCTTTTGAGATTTACTTTTTATGAACTAAATGAAGCGAGAACTTGTAAAATAAGTAGAAATGGATTAGAGGATTTTTAAAGTTCTTTCCAGAACTACCATACTCTAATAGTGCATAGGTTAGTAACTTCCCTGCATTGCTAGCAGGACAAATTGGTTGTTTCTGAACTGGGTTCCCTTGTACCCAGGAGGGCTGCAGAAGTACCTCAGGGGCTTTTGAGCTGAGGACAGGGAAGGTACTTTTACTTCCTACCAAAGCATCTCACATTTATTTATTTTTTTAATGCTACAGGTTCCACATAATATTTTATTTGGCAAAAGGGGCTCCTCTGTTCAAACAATTATCTGATTATCTGAGAAACCAGATTTAAAGCATAAGGTATATATTTACAGGATTGATCCTTTAAGAAAAATAGAAAACATTAATAGATTTGCCAAACATGTACACCGATTCAGATTCTTCACTCCGGATGCAAAAATCCCATGTTTCACTTGGTAAATATGATTTTATAAATTCTAGCATTAGACAAATAATGCATCTAATCACAAATGGTACTGGTACAGCTAAGGAGGACAAAGACAAGCCATTCACACCTGGAATCGACTTGACTCGTCTCTGTAGGGAAGATGATCTTTTGTAGTCAGCTAAAAACTTGAATAAGTCTTCATCACTGAGGCGATCTCCCTCCTGCCAAGAGAAAAGTCAGGGTTAGTGTAGACATACCATTGACTCCAGGGTTAGGGACCAATGATTTCTGGGAAGATTTTTACCTTTAAATTTTATTCTCATAAGTTTTTCACAGAAATTAGCATTATAGGCAACTGTGAAATCATTACTAATAGCTCAACCTCTTGTGAACTATTCCTTCCCAGTCACTCTCAACTCACCGTGACTCAGCCTCTCATCTGTCCTTCTGGGAACGGGGCTTCTACTGCATTCTAAGGAAGCCTATTTGACCATTAGAAATCTAGGCCAAAAGCTTCTCCCTTATAACTTCCCCCGTGACGCTAGTTTTACTTCCTGGAACAATACAGAATAAGTGTACTTTCTTCTCCAAAGATTTGAAGGTGGAAAAAACGTCTTTCCTATCTCATTCTCTTCATACTTGTCTTGAACAAGAAGCTTAAGCATAAAAGCCACCATCCATGTGTCCGCCATGGGACAGGAACTCTGCCAAGGGCCACACGTGCATGATCTCCAATCGTTACAGCAACCCAGTGAGGTAGGTAGGTACATATGCCTTATTTCCAGTGAGAAAGCTCAGACTTAGTTAAGACAAGCACCTTGGCCCCCAAGGTAATACAATTGGGAAGAGTGTTTCCCAAATAGAAACCCTTTCAGACCCTTTCGATTTCTATTATGTGGCATGGTATACAGGCCCCCTCAGTACCCCTTCTGTGTTTCAATTTAACATAATTCCTTTAAATGCTCCATGAAGACTATCTGAGCTATGGAAACCTTTCCAATAAAGTCAAACCAAGTCTGAAGTTTTGTTTTTTTTTTGAACTGCGGTAAAATACACATCATTAAATTTACTATCTTAATCATTTCTACCATCTTAACCATTTTTTTTTTTTTTTTGAGACAGAGTTGTTGCCTCGTTAGCCTAGCTCACAGCAACCTCAAACCCCTGAGGTAAGTGATCCTCCTGCCTCAGCCTTCCGAGTAGCTGGGACTACAGGCATGCACCACCATGCCCGGCTAATTTTTTTTTTTCTCTCTATATATTTTTAGTTGTCCAGATCATTTCTTTCTATCTTTTAGTAGAGACGGGGTCTCGCTCTTGCTCAGGCTGGTCTCGAATTCCTGACCTTGAGCGATCCACCCGCCTGGGCCTCCCAGAGCTAGGATTACAGGCGTGAGCCACCGCGCCCAGCCATCTTAACCATTTTTAAGTGTACAGTTCAGTAGAGTTAAGTACATTCACAAAGTTGTGCAACCAATCTCCAGAACTCTTTCATCTTGCAAAAATAATCTGAAACTTTATACCCTTTAAACAACGACTCCCCATCCCTTCTTCCCCCAGACCCTGACAACCATCATTCTACTTTTTGTCTCTATGCATTTGATGACTCTGGGAAGTTTTTTATGTTTAAAATAGTCTCGATGTTTACTGAGCTAACAGAGAACACCATCAGGCATGGTCACGCTCTGTGACAAGTAGCCAGCCCTAGAAACTTGCACAAGGAACAGAGGTGAGAAGGACAACAGCCAGGCCAGGAAACCCTGACCCACAGCATAATAAATGAATTGACCAAGATAATGTAAACAGGATAGTTTGTATCCTCCTCTCAATTTAAACAGCTAACACTCACTGAGCATTTATGTATTCTAGGCACTCTGGGAAGAGCTGTATAGTCCTCATGTCACTGACCCTCCCACCAGCCACGTGAAGTCAGTAACATCATCACTGTTTTGCAGATAATGAAATTGAGGCTTGGTGAATGCTATGGTTTGAATGTCCTCTCCAAAACTCATGTCGAGACTTGGTCCCCAAGGTGGCCGTGCTGAGAGGTACAGCCTTTAAGAGGTGATTGGGTCGTCAGGGTTCTGCCCTCATGAATGGATTAATACATTCACAGATTAATGGATTAGTGAGTTAATGGATTAATGGGTTGTCATGGGAGGGGGACTGGTGGCTTTGTAAGAAGAGGAAGAGAGACCTGAGCTAGCCCACTCAGCCCCCTTGCCATGGGATACCTTGCGCCACCTTGGGATCTACAAACAGTCCCCACCAGTAAGAAGGCCCTCATCAGATGCAGATCCTGGATCTTAGACTTCTCAGCCTCCAGAACTGTAAGAAATAAATTCCTTCTCTTTATAAATTACTCAGTTTCAGGTATTCTGTTACAAGCAACAAAAAATAGACTATTATAGTAACTTTAACTACCTATACTCCTCCTGTGGGCTCCAGGGCCCATGCCAATATGGGGACAAATCCAGACACACTATACTGTGAAGAGATACCTGCTTGAAAAAGGTGTTAATGGTCATGGTGGTGGTTCTGAAGTTGGATCCAACACCATTTTCCTCCAAGGAGAGGGCTCTTTCAGAAAGTCTTCTAGACTGGGCCAAAGTCCTCCGTTCACCCACTGAGCTTCTCCCTTTAAAGAAATCAATGTCATTCTAAAGTATGCCTTTCTGTTTGAATACACAGCAGTTATTAACTTTACCATATATATGTTTAAAGTCCCTGAACAAGGACACTGAACATGGCCATCCCCATGTGGAAATTAGGGTAGACTCTGCCACTCAGCAAGAGTCCAGAGCTGCAGCCAGAATAGGGTCTCCTGATAAGCTTTATTTAGTCAGCACAGTGTTTGCTTTTGTTTTATTTTTATATTTGCATTCCACTGGGAGAGGCGTGTACTCAAATGCCCCTGAAGGCATTTGGGACTGTGATCCAAACATGCTAGGGTCAGCCTGTGTACCTTCTGAATCTCAGCTTTCTTCTGCTCTCATTGTGTGGACCAGGCGGCAAAACTGAATTTCCGCCTCAGTTGACCTGTCTAATGGGAATTAGAACCCCAGAACACACCCAAACTTGGGCTGGCACCCTGATACTCTGCTTAGTTGTTTCTTATCCCCTTTTGGGATTCAGGTGGAGATTTTATTGCTTTTCTACTCCAAAACTCAGGGGTTCTGTTGTAAATAATCAAATTGCTTAGAATTCTAATAGTTTCAATTCCTGTCTTTGAATATCCTTTTAACTTTAATTTGTACTATGCTGCTGAATTGGGATTTCTTTCTACCGCTACCCACCTAAACGTGCCATACTGCCTTAGTATAATATGCAGAATCTTCTAGTTGCTTCTTAAGAATCAGTCTCTGTAGTCAGGTTAATTTATCCTTGACCTAGAGATCACTGAGGGCTCAGCAAGCCTTCCCCTGAATTATGTAGCTTATGGTACCCTCTAACACTACACACACCTGTTTCAGTTAAGGCTATGTGAGTCTGCATGGAAGTTGGCACTAAAAACAACTGTGGTGTGAAGGCTAGGATGCAGCACAGTGAGGTTTGTTACTGACAAATCAGAGATAACCCAGGAGCTCTGACTGGTGATTATGCAACAATAACTCCAGAGTAGCAGCGGAAATAACAAAATACCCTCTCTTCCACTTCCCTGCTACAGGCAGCATTTCCAAAGTGGCAGAGCTAAGGAATGCATAAGAAATGTGAACAGAAACTTAAATATTTGCTTGATACAAAGGTATCTAAGCAAACAGAAGCCCCACCGTAGGTGGTGGGGGTGGGTCTACTTGAAAACTTTGCAACCCTCTTGAAAATTTCCATACCCAAACAGTTTAGGAATGAATGATTCAGATCGAGGGTGAGGTGACGAAAAAGAAATATGCTAAATACATTAAAACAGTAACTACATATTCTTTTGGCACCCACTTTTTCATTGCACTGGGCAAAATAAACTTTAAGGGACTGGACATTGTGCTGGGGAATCTGACTTTTGCTTGTTTGAAGCCTTGGTCACAGAGGCTTTTCCTGTGTTTAGGAGCCAACCACGGTGTCTCTGTGTAGCACACTAGAGATTTTTACTGCATTTTCTTGTGATTTTTAAAACTTCCTTTTCAGAGGAGGTAGATACCAAAAATTAACTTTTTAAAGTGTCAAACTATCTAGAAAATCTTATGATAAGAGTATATTTAATCTCCACAAATGCTCTTGATAATTTTTTTGAAGATTACCGTCCAAGCAAGCATATGTAATCTAGTCATAATAGTCTTTCATTCTATTTCTCTCCTTCTTCCTTCCCACCACTCCCCAAAGCTCCTGCAGCCCCAGAGCTGGTACGCTGGGAGCCTTCCCCTGCCCCCTGCAGATGAAAATCTTACCAACCGTGGGCTCCACATCCATTACCTCCCTGTCGAGGGTGGAGACATTGAAGAAGGTTGCTAAGCTAATGGGCGCCCAGGCAAAGGGCATCCGATATTTTCCCAAACGTTGGCAGAAGGATTCAGCTTGAAGTTTTAGTTTTTCAATCTTTTCTTTACTCTAGAGGAAAATGGGAAGAAACAAGCTGTAACAAGCATCAACACTGAGTCCCCTGCCTCTGACATGGATGTGACAGCTATTCCCCGAATTCAAACCTTACTGATTAAAAAGAGTGCACAGGCAGAAAAACGACTCAACTCGGGCCAGAAGGCTAGCTGGAAATAGATTAAATAGATTACAAAGTGAGAAGTTTAACGAAAGTCTACATTTAAGGAAAACACTACATCTTCAGCTACAAAAAAAGTCCAAGGCTTGTTATACCAGCTAATCTATGAGTAATTCTTTTGGTGGCTAGATATGTGACTTAGATTTGCACCAAAGAATCTAGTAATAAAAAGTTTAGAGCTATGATGACACCATTGCACTCTAGCCAGGGCGATAGAGCAGAGACTCTGTCTCAAAAAAAAAAAAAAAAAAATTACAAAATTTAGTATGTTATCTACCAAGCTCCCAAGTGAATCTGTTTTTCAAAAGTTGCCTTGGAAAACTCCAAAAAATTCTTAAAAGTTTCCTAACAACTTCTTACAAGATTTACAACACTTCCAAGGTATTCTTTCTAAGTTTGGAATAAAAGATAGATTAAAAAAAAAAAAGTCTCCAACACGCACCATCCAAGGGATGGGCACACTTGAAACTCGGACTTGGGGGGGAGTGGGGAGGCAAGGCAACATACATAACCTAAACACCTGTACCCCCAATAATAATGCTGAAATAAAAAAAAAAGTCTCAAGTTCAACAAATCTTACTTGAAATTTATGAGTCTATAGTAGAATACTGATTAGGTAAGTCTTATTCCAGAAAGGCCATGTTTTAAAAACCATACTGGGAACCTCTGCAAATTGCTGCTCAGAAAAGATGTCCTGTTCATAGGCTCCACATCTATGCTGTGCTAATGAATTTATGATGTGTGGTAGTGATGACCAACTCCCAATCATCCATACCAGAAAGGGCAGTGGTCCATGCTGTTGAGGGAGGCCAGGAGAGCTCTGGCACTGTTTAGTTTTGCAATCAGCTGGATCAGAGCCTCAGAACCAAGACAACAGGATGTGGCTTTGCCCTCACCAAGTTATGTAGTCATATGTTGGTGTGTATCATCATTAGTGAGTTCAATAATTTATTTCTTTAAAAAGTTATCATCATTGACCAGTTTCTTTTTTTTCTTTCATTTAAAGTCAACGTATTAGTGTCTCGTATAGGGACATATTATGGACTAAATCCCATTAACTATTTTGTGAAACACTTCTGAAAATACCTGCCCCTTCGAAGATGTCACCATTTAGCAATATTCAAATTATCATACCTTTCCCCCGTCACTTTCTTTGATAACCATGTAGGGTTCTGCACATTCTCCAATCTCTCCTTGCTGAAGGACTTTTTCAATCTACCAACAAAAACAACATAAACATAAAGAATACGAATTACATCCACGTAAAGAAATCTATGCAACAATCAAAATTATGTTTTATGACGATATTTGGTGACATGGCAAGATATCTGTGATATGAGTTTTTTGATTTAAAAGAATACTATGAAGGGTACCATACAGTTTTGTAAAAAAAAAAAATCATAGAGGATATTAAAAGGATGATATCAGATACACAGCAAATGTTAACAGTAGTTATCTTTATATGGTGGGATTATGTGTGATTTTTATTTTCTTCCTATTGCTTAGTGTATTTTTTATTTTTAAACAATAAACATGTATTATGCCTACAATAAAAAATGCAATAAAAGTTATTTTATAAAACAAAACCCTTGAGACATGTGTAGGCAGTGGAAAGCTCATTTTCTTTATTATTGCTTACAATGTAAAAAAGAAATATGGTCTCTGTAAAAGTCAGGTTGGGGACCAAAACCTTCCACAAAATGAATAAATGAACAGAATAAATTATTTGTAATTGTCTCCATGGTATTTCCTATTAGGCTAATTTTCTGGATTTAGCAGACCTGGAAAGAAACTCAAAAGCACGGGGACGAGCAGCGTCTCAGTTTGCCGACTGGCTGGTGACAGGAGTGGATGCTGCTCCTGTCAAGTGTCTTCTGCCAGCTTGCTCCAGGCAGAGAGCTGGCTGGCTACTTGCCGCCAAGTTGGGTACCATGTTTAGGAGAAAGGCAAGGAGAAATTGAAATTTCCTAACTTTCTGCTAAAAGATAATTTCACTTAGATGTTGAAGAGAAAAACAAGTAGACTTAGTCCCATTAGCCAATGTCATTAGTTGAAATGACCCTTGAAGAAGAAATCTGGGTCAACATATTCCAACAGGCACATACTCTTAATAGGTGTTATCAGTTAGGCACAAAGTATTTAACCCAGAGTACCCTCCGGAGGGGTGTTTCATGGGATTTCAAAGGAAGCAGAATGGGGCTGCTCAGTGGACATGTTTCAGGGAGGAGTCCAAGTGGGAAGTCCCTCTTCTCACGAAAGAAGTTAAAAACCCCTCCCCACTGCCATTGCATGGAAAGAAGGCTGATCTCACTGAGAGTTGCACAACATTGAAAACATAGACTCACAACACTTGAGCTAGAAACTGACCAGCATTCCCGTTAATCAGCAATCATTCACTCATTCATTCAAGAAATCTTTGTTGAGTACCTTCTGTGTGGTAGCAGCTGAGATAGAGATAAGGTGATGATAAGCATCATCCCTATTTTCCTGAGCACACACAATAAGCATGGTCCCTCTTCCTCTGAAAACCAATGAATATGGTCCCTATTCTCCCGAAGCTCATAGTCAAGAGCTTATAGAACAAATTGGAAGGAAACTAATTTTTCCATGAAGCCAATGGATTAAAAATGTGGTCTTTAAAATGAATTTTAAACAAAGATTAAGAACTTTTTAATTAGGACCCTGAAGCAAGGAATGGGAATGCCATGGCTTCATGCCCTAGTGTGTAGCATGGAACATACAGAATAGGGTTCCCCAGAATCTAGAAGCAGGAGAATCCAGATTCAACCAGACCAGCAGCTACTACTCGCTTCGCTGCATTGGGCAAGGGTAACTCCAGGTACCCCAAGAGAAGGAGATCCATGCTGATATGAGAACCCATTGTTTGGACCTTCGTGATTTATATAAAAGGGTATGACATGAAGTGCGTGAGTCTTCATAACCATGGAAGGTAGAGCAGAGGTGCCTATCAGAATAAATTTTTAGGGTAGAGAAGCTACTTTCCGCTTTATTCAGGAAGGGCTGGTTCAATGCCTGGCATGTCTATTTTTAAAAAGCTTCACATTCACTCCAGGCCTTACTCTCCATCCCTCAATTGTGAAACAAATACTTTTAACTATTTTACAAAATCTCAAATTAAAGCTTTAGGCCTGAAATGACTCCTTTACGCAATATTTTAGGCAATACCAGCACTAGATGACTGTGCCTGAAATACAGTTAAGATCCTGGTGTTCAGGTTGGTAATAAAAACAAGAAAGGAAGTAGCCCCTTTTTATCGAATGACACCTGCCTAGACGTGCTAAATATTACACCATTTACTATATATTTAAAGGGAAAGAAGCAACAATGACAGCACCACAGTAAAGAAAAACAAATGGAAAGCAAACCAGGGATTGTCTTGCTATGTAGATTTAAATTTCTTCATTATATCCAGACAACTTAGAGTATGTTTGTTATTGCCAAATGAATGCATTCACACATTTGAAAATTTTGGAACATGTTTAGTAAGTGATAGTAACCACTTGGTAACCACTGTTATTTGGCAGACTACTAAGGACTAATCAAAATAAAGTCATCCACTGAGAAGTACAGTTTTAAATAAAATTTGGCTGTATAGAACTAGTGCTGGTTTCCTTGGTTTCCAAGGCTGAGAAAGAATTTTGAATTTAAATGCAGAGCTGCCATAGTGGGCTTTATGCTAATTTTTCCTGTATGTCTAAGTAATATTGCAATGAAAAGAACACACATTAAAGTTTGATGACCATAGATGTGTCTTTTTAGCAACAGAATTTTAACTATACTTTCCATAAGTGTAAATACTTTCCATAAGTGTAAATAAGTGTAGTAAACCCTCATAATCTTTGTAAAATGATGTAAAGGAAGATAGAATGGAAAGGCATCTGCTGCCTGTTAAGTGGCCTCCAATTTACCTGAATTTTTTGGAATCTATATGCTACCATCACCATGAGATCATGGGGGAATCACCAAGATTATGGACACAAAACACTGTCCTAACTAGAAAATGTTCCAAACACAGAAAGCTGCGGGTACATGAAATCAGACACCTGGATTGGTTGTTTTGTTTCATTTTACAATTTTGGTATAAAGAGTCAATTAGACTGATTATTTGGCCTTATGAGGTAGGTAAAATACCAATGTTTGTTGACTTATAACCAGTCATTTTGGTGTATACAGAAAGATTCTGGGTTTTTTTTTGTTTGTTTGCTTTTTGTTTTTTACATGAGCAAAGAATACAGTCTAGAACGAAAGTTTTTTCTACTTATTGTCTGACAGATTTTGACTCTCACTTAACATACTCCGTCTGTGAAATGATGATAAAAAGGGAGAGTGAAACTTGGAAACCACAGCCCAAACTGTAAGAGTCTGGACTTGGGAACATTTAACTATGGGTCTCTAGAAAAAGTGAACATCATTAGGAAACTCTACCAGAGAGATTTTGTGTCTTTGTCCACAGTCGTCCCCCAGAGCCAGATAGCTGAGGGAACTTTTCTCAGTTAGGAGGGAGGTTACTGACATGGTTTGGATGTTCTGTCCCTGCAAATCTCATGTTGAAATTTGATTCCCAGTGTTGGAGGTGGGGGCTGGTGGGAGGTGTCTTGGTCATGGGGACAGATCCCTCATGAATGGCTTGGTGCCCTCCCCGCCATAATGAATGAGTTTTCTCTATTAGTTCACGTGAAAACTGGTTGTTTAAAAGTGCCTGGCACTCCCTCCTCTCTCTTTCTTGCTCCTTTTCTCACCATTTGACACACCTGTTCCCCTTGACTGGAAGCTCCCTGAAGCCCTCACCAGAAGTAGATGCTGGTGCCATGCCTCTTGTACAGTCTGCAGAACTGTGAGCCAAATAAACATCTTTTCTTTGTAAACTACCCAATCTCAGGTATTCCTTTATAGCAGCACAAAATGGACGACCACAGGTACATAAGGTATGTCAGGCTTTATTCTGTAGTCATGACTACCCACTGAGGTCACTGTGATAATCCCCACTCCTCAGATGAGGAAACGAAGTCTCGGAAAGGTCAGGTCATTGCCAAAGTCATATAGTTACTAAGTTGTAAAGCCAGGATTCAAACCTAGGACTGTCTGACTCCAAAACAGCCTTTCTAGTATCTAAAACAGAATTTGTTTGTAAGGGAAAAGGGGAAGTTGAGAAGAGAACAAAGCGAATCTCACAAAGGACATGTAGACATGTTCTGACGTCTCTTTTGCCCCAAACGTGCAGGGAATATTGCAACAATGGAAACATCAGATGTGCAAATGAGAATGTGGTTAATTACCTTGATTACTAGGTAGATGTCTGAGGATGGGTAGGTGACTGAGAAGATCGCAGATCTCGCCTGACTTGATGTGGCAACTGAAGGCGTGTGAGCTCGCAGAAATCCTTTGAGCTGGTCAGAGTTCAGGTCACAGTGAAAATTTTCTGAGATCTGTAAATGAGCAGCAACGTGAAAAATAAGTTAGACCTGTTGTATTCATGGTCTAAACATGTTTTAAAAAAGAGTGAAAAAGCCACAAAGAAATTTCGCTGAAGGAACAAGTGTAGTCATAGATAGGGTTTATGATGAGTGGCTGCTGGAAAATCTGATAAATGTTTTGTCACAATTTCTAGATATTTTGGAGCCATTTGAGAGATGTTGCTTGAAACATTAAAATTTTGCTTAGCCCACCAGTATTTCCTGAGTATCAGTGATGTGCTAGGTACTTCACTACGTAAGCACAGGACGTTGCCTCTGCCCTCCTCAATTAGTTTACAACCAAGAACGAGGGAAAAGGAAAATGTAACTAACTACAGTAAAAGCAAAATACAAGTCACCAGTGGCATACAAAGAAGTGCTATGGAAGATTCTTGGAGTGACAGGTCATTTTCAGTTGTGGTGATGAGGACAGCTTTTTATGGAAGAAGCACTGGGGTGGGATGGGCCCTAGAAGAAGATTCTGATGGGCAGAGGTAGAGGGTGAAGGTGCGTCAGGGAGAGAGTACAGTACAGATAAATATCTCAGAGGCTGGAACACCTGGAGTGAGCTTAGTTAACAGTAGACCAGCTTGACTCTGCATAGGCTATAGAGGGGACGAAGGCATATGACAGCCATGGTGAAAGTCTGGCATGGAAGCTAAAGAGTTTGTTCTTAATGTTGTAGGTAGTGATGATCCATCAAACATTTTGAGCAAGAGCATGACATGAATAGTCCTCCTTCGCTCACTTGGTGTGGTATTACGTAAGGCCTGCTGCATGGTTGGGTTTTCCCTTTCATCTCTAAGAGAGTTTTAGTGAGAAGTGGCTGCCCAGGCAAAGACTACATTTCCCAGCCTCCCTTGCAATGAGGGGTGATCATGTGACTAAATCCTCTCCAACAAATTATGAGCTGAATCGAAGTGTCAAACTTTTAGGCCTCTTCCACCCCTCTTTTCCCTTTTTCTGGGGCATCAGTGGCAGTGACAAGAGTGATTTGTGGAGAGCACATGTTAAAGATGGGGGAGCCACTGCCAGCCTGGGTTCCTGAATGACTGAGTGGAGCAGAGGGACTCCCTAATTCTGGATTGTTAAGAAACAAAGATAAGAAACTTCTTGTTCTTTAAGCCCATGGTTTACAAAATATGGTCCCTAGACCAGCAGCTTTAGCATCACCTGGGAATCTGTTAGAAATGCAAATTCTTGGGCTCTACTTGGACCTACTGAATCAGAAACTGTGGGGGTGGAGCCCAGCAATCTGTGTCTTAGCAAGTCCTCCTGGGGATTCTGATGCATGCTCAAGTTTGAGAACTACTGAGCCACTGAATTTCAAGGTCTACTTGTTTTAGCAGTTAACCTACCCTAACTAATATGAATCTCAGTGATTATTAATATTTATACAAGAGATATATGTTTTCTTAAATACAGAATGGTTACAGGTAAAGAGGGGCAGAAGTATCTGCCTTACTCTGGTTTTGCTATTGCTGTCCTCTAGGAGTTAGAAAATGACTAAACATTAAAACACTCATGGAAAAGTCTTGGGTCACCGTTTCCATTAAAAGCACATTACATTTGGTAAGGTCTTCACCCTGTGGCAAATTTAGACTTTTACTGCACAAGACGACTTCCATTTGTGATGAGCCCATTTCACAGTGCAAAGAACTCTCAAACCCAGGAAATGTTACATGCACATTCAAGCTTGTTAAATACGCATTTAAACTGGTTTGTTTTCCACATAATCCCATGTGCTGACTATTTAATTTGTCTCCTGTCCCAACTAGGCCACCATCTCCATCAGCCCTTTCCCTCAAAGATTCTTCAAAGTACATAAATGATGTTCCCAGATTATTGCTTGAAAAATTGCAGAGGCTGAACAGAACTGGACGCATCAAAGGTCATTTGTTTTCAAATCTGATGTGTTCTTGCTGCATAGAAATGAGATTTAAAACCATAAACCCAAAGAATCATGAGCAGTATGCATGCCTCAGGGATGTATTCTTTGCTTTCTTACCTTTTTCCTTTCTTTAACATCGTAGAGGGCAATGCTGGCAAACAGAGGCTCAATTTCAATCTCAAACCTATCAGAGAAAGAGAGATAAATCTATATGGCTTTCATTTAGATAATTTTGAATTTTCTGAAAATGCCTGGATATATAAACTAGTTAAAAATGGACATAGTTTCCAGAAGTATTTGGAAAACTCCACACATATGAGAATTACACTGGGGTATTAATGGAGAAACATGGGAGGTTAATGGAAGATTCCTGATCATTTGAAATCATGGTGGATGTTACCACGACATGGTGGATGTTTTGGGGATGTCTCGAAAAAATGCTTGCTGGTAGCACTGCAAGAGAGAGTGGGCTGAATGGACCCTTACACTGATCCAAGTTCTTATCGATGTACCTGCCGTGTTTTCAGAGGATAGAATCTCTGTTGTAGGTAGTGGAATTGTCTACACTTCACATTTTACTGGTAGGATAGGAATCTCTATTATTTAATTCTAAGGGATGGGGCTCTTCAGTTGTAACAAAAGAAAAGTTCAATTGCTTTACCGTGGGACAGTCAGAGGAAGATTGGGTTCATCAGGGTTACGACCTGGATGAATGTCTGGCCTTTCCTAACTCCATTACCGAGGAACTGCTGAGTTGAGGTGGGGGAGGGCATTCAGCACAGCAGATAAACACTGAGGTGCCCAGACCCCACAGGAGCTGGAAAGAGCCCTTGTATTGTTCCCAATCGCCAATTTGCCTTGACATGGTGGGCTTCACGAGAACGCATGCCTAAAGCAGAATCCCAGCACATGTCAACAGGTGCCCAGGGAATGCAGATGAGCACTTTCCAAGTTTCTTGGCTTAATAACCCGTGACCTTGGACACTGCCTGCTGAGAGCATCAGTAAAGAGGCCCTGGTCCACTATCATCTCAGAGGTCATACAAATGAGGCCACATTTTGTCTCCAGGCATGCGTGAGAGGATGGCCTTATCATTGGATAGCTATGTCTCAAAAGAGGACGTTTTAGAAGAATATTTGGACAGAGAATAAGCACAGACAAAAGGGTTAGTTGGTCAAATGAGGCGGTTTAGAATAATGGCAGACTCACAGGACACTGGGTCAGAGAGACCTGGGCCCTGTTCCTCTTCTACCACCTGCCAATTCTGGGATCCTAATCAGGTTACTTATCTTCCCCAGTTCCATTTATGTATCTGCAAAATGAGGCAAGGACACTTGCCGTTTCCCATTTTCCCAGCTTACTGTAAGGTTCACGTAAGGCACCGCGTGTGAATGTACTGTGAAAACAATGTGGACCAGCAGCAGTACTCACAGTAGCCAAAAGGTGGAGGCAGCCCAAGTGTCCACGACAGATGAATGGATAAACAAAACGTGCCCTACACATGTACATATAATATTATTCAGCCTTAAAACAGAAGGACATTCTGACATACGCTGCAATAAGGATGAACCTGAGGACATCGTGCTAAGTGAAGTAAGTCAGTCACAAAAGGATAAATATTTTGTGATTCCTCTTATATGAGGTACCTAGAGCCGTCAAATTCAGAAAGACAGAAAGCAGGATTATGATTGACAGGGGCTGGGCCGTGGAGGGGATGGGAGTTAGCGTTTAAAGAGTATGGAGTTTCCATTTGGGAAGAAAAAGCTTTCTGGAGATGGATGGCTGTGATGGTCGCAGCACAATAATATATTTTAATGCCACTGAAATGTACATTAAAGATGGTTAAGATGGTAGATTTTATGTTATGTGCATTCTACCACCAAAAAACCCAATGTTAGGATTTTCATGTTGATTCTTCCTGTTATTAGGTAACAGCACATTAATCAGGGCATTCCCCGTGCCTGGGTTCCCCAGCTGCTGCCTGGTGTGGTCAACCTGTGCCAGGTTGCTCCCTAAACACACAGGGTCTGAATATTGCTGGGATATACTTAGGTAGGCACTGAGTGTTAAGTGTTAAGTTCTCTGTGGTTCAGAGAAATAAAAGGAGAATTGACATTTATTAAAGATTTAACAATTATGCTGTGATAGTGCGTTACACAAGTCAACCCCTTTACTCTTCACAACAGTGTCATGCAGTATTATCCTCGTTTTATACATGAGGACACTGAGGTTCAGAGAGATTAAGGAACTTGTCAAAGGCCACAAAGTTAGGAAGTAGCACAATCAGGTTTTGAGCCCAGCCGTTTCTGATCACAGGACCTGGGATTTTTCTGCAAGTGTTTCTCCAAGCATAGTCCCCACCAACTAGCATTCTGAAGCACAGGAAGAGTTTGTGAGCATGCAGGTTTCTTGGTACCACCTGAGACCTACTAAACCAGAAACTCTGGAGGGAGATGATTATCAGAGGTCTCCCAAAATCTGCATTTAAAACAAACTCTCTGGGTAAATTTTATGCATGCTAAAGTTTCACCACCAAGAAGACTCCTAAGAGCTGAGGTTACTCTGCATAAGATGGTATTAAATCTTAAATTGAAAGATTTCCCCACTTAAAATACAAAACAGAAAAATACTTTGTTGTCATCCTGTTTTTTTTCTTACTGCTATAAACATTTGGAGAACTGGCTCCAATCTAGTTCTTTCTGTATCCTTGAGGCTTTATTTATCTCTCAAAAGCAATGCAGAGACAGTTAAAAATCTCCATAACTTAAAAAAAATTCCCTAGCTGCTAAAATCTAGAGTACTATAAATAGAATTCTGCATATCAATGTCAATGAGAAAACATCTGCCATTAATATTATCCTTAAATTTTTACTATTCATACTTTCACAGTCTAGGTTTACTTATAAGAATTTGTTTCCTTTCTTTTATCCAGTTTACTCAAAGTAGTTATACGTAGGGCCATTTCGTTGGTCCATCTCCTCTTGCAGGTATATTTTAGTATGGATACTATTTAAGATACTTGAGCAGGCCAAGTGCACTGGGCAAACACATCCATTCCTACTTAATTTCTGCTTTGGCAGTTGGGGAAACATTGCTAGAAACTGGACTTGACAATTTTCATTAAGAGAAATCCAAGTGACTCAATTTTTAAAAATAACACATCTATATTAGTGGGCCATGTTTTCCCACCTGTAAGAACAGCTGCCATTTACTTATTGGAAAGGTCTAGGAGGCTTGGTGACAAGCATCCTCCAATCCCAACTGGCATAGTTGCTGCATCTAAAAGTAGCCTGACTGTACATCCTGTGGGGGTGGCTGAGTGCCTCAGACAATAGCGTAGACTTCCCAAACAATGAAGAGGGGAACAGCCATTTCCACTCAGTCCTACTGCTGACCTGATGGGCTAGGAAGCTCTCACTTCCGGGTTGGCTTGCAAGGGTTGGAGTTTGCCTTTCTGTGCCCATTACTTGATACAGAGCTGTTTTACAGGCTGCTCGTTTCTGTGTATAAGACAAAGACCCTTATACCCCCGCTGATAGAATTGGCTGGGGCAGGGGGCTACAACATCAAGAGAGCACCCACACCTGTGTGAGCAGCCATGCTGGCTTGTGTTCTGAGGAAGAAGAACTTGAGGGAGGCTATGTGTTAGAATCACAGAAATTTATAGTAGGTAGAAACTTCGAGACCATCTGGTCTAACAATTTCATTTACAGGTAAGAACTCAAAATCCCAGGGAAGTTTCCCAGGACGTCTCAGTCCTGTGTCTCAACAGTCTTGAATCTAGAATCCAGATGCAAACCAGGTGCTGCTTAAGGGACCCAGGAATTGATTTTGAGAGATGGATCACCTTCTTAATAGCATATGAAAAAATGTTATGATTATGTACTTTTGCTTAGGCAGAGTATTTAGAACTTTAATATTTTCAAAATGGTCTCTTGGTTCCAAGTGGAAGAACTAATTCTGTGAAGCAGCAGTCTGTAAAGAGGAGGAGAGGTCTGGGAACACTCCAGGGGGTACACAAGACACTCCATTGGAGGGCAGGAAGAAAATGTTAGCTATCTTTAGATTTATTTAGCTCACCCTTTAAAATTTCTAGTGTATGTTTATAATGTGGATAATATTTTAATATGCAAGCACAAAACAAATTAATACACATATACAGAGGACATGTAAATTTTTTTTAAATATAAAAGTACACAATAGAAAAGTTTGGAGACAATTGCTTTAAAGTAGATGTGGCAAATAATTGGCTCCTAAGATGAAATTGAACTGCAGACTTGTTTTGTGTGAATTGTGTGGTGTTTAAAAAGGAAATGAGAAGAAGATACTTAGGGAGTCAGGAAATTATGCTGAAAAATATGGATTTTCAGCTTCTCTTGAATAAAGAAAGAAATTAGACAATTGACAAAAGTGGGCTTGTTTCCTTGCATGGCAAGAGTTGGCTGTAGCTAGCAGTGGGTCCCCCATTAACACAGTTTGCTACAGTCCCCACCACTCCCTATTGTCCCCTGACACTGAAATGGGTTTTGGTTGCATTTATCATTGTGTTTTGACAGTGGTGTGCTGGTAAATGCTTAACAAACAATCTCTTGGGGGGGAAAGGGTGCTCATTTGTAGCATTTGCTGATTTCTATGTTGTAAATACTTTCACCATGGCCAATTTAAAGTTACCAATGTGACTTCAATGAACATGGAGTTGGGAAGAGATGTGCACTATTGGCTTTTGTGAGTTAGTATGAGTCGACTCCTGCAACCCACTGACTTTACTGTGTTTTTTTCCTTATTATAGGCCATTTCACTCAATTACCTTACATGCCTGACCTTGGTAGACACTTGTGTTTGCCTTCCCTATTGTGGAAGAATGACTGTCAAAGCTTGGTAGGAATAGAGTCCAGAAATAAACCCCAAACACTGCTCTTTCCACTACTGCCTCACAGCTGCCCACAGTTAAAAGTGTGTTGGGAGCTCCTCCCTGATCCAAGCTCTCAGTTTGTCTCTAAAAGGCAAGACAAATCTCAAAAGTAGTGGTAGCGTGTTTTCTGATACTTACTTCAGTGTCAGCAACTTGATCAATATTCTGTTGCCCAGATGTTCCTTGGGACATTCTGGTACCGGACGTATTTCCACAGCATCCTCCTATTATTAACCACATTACAAAGAAATCATTAGTGAATTCCATGAGGAATTCCACTTGGAGTTAACCCAGGGAAGGGAAGGCTGCCCTCCATGGCTCAAGTCAACTTACATTTGTTTTATTTCTAATAGGAGAATAACACTCTGCCTTTCACAAGAGTTTGCCATCCAACCCCCAACCTTCCAAGTCAGCATTTACAGCAAATATTTTCTCCTTTCAGAAAACCAAGCATTTAAGACAAAGAGATTGAAGGAGGAAGGAAGGAAATGTGAAAATGGACATGGCTTAGTAACATCCACCAGATGGCATTGCAAAATCTTATACCTATTGTTGGTTTTTTTTGTTGTTGTTTTTGTACTTTTTTTTGCCTGCTCTACATACATATTCAGAGTATTTCTCCTGCCAAGGGCTTTACTAGTAAATAGGTGAGTTTCAGATTTGAGATCTGAGTCAGAATGGTTCACTTAAGGCTGTAAACCATTAATGCTGTAACAGATTCTCTTTCTCAGTTCACTGTTTTCTTAAATAGATGAGAGAGATTGCGGAGTGAATTTACAGGTTCTATACAGACAAATGTAGGTAGAACTTGCAAAAGTTCTAGGTATAGGAAAGCTTAGCAATGACAAATTAAGAGCTATACCTGTCTATTTTACCACATAGGGGCTAAAGACTTAAAGAGAAATAACAAGTCTCTATTGAAACTTTAGCATTTAAATCTGAATTTAATTACATTCACGTTTGTGAAATTAAACAGTGAATCCTTGAAAACTTTAATTCCCACTCTTGCAGTAGGTTATCCAAACACGTGAGTGGTCTGCTGCTCATAAAGATTCAAATAGAGTCATGTCTAATTGTCTTTTCCTGGCAATAAATGCTGGCAGCTTCCCACCAAATACCCCACAGCAACCATAACATTGTTACAAACAGCAGTAAAGTCACCTTCCTGGTAAATCTGTACCCGGTTTGGTGGAATGATTGAAGTGCTAAACTCACCACTACTCTAATCTCTCTTCCCCTTCAGCCCCCATTCCTGTGGTTGCAGCGGGCCGACTCGCTGGGTGGAATTGCCGGGTTTGTTTCAGAGCAGACACTGTTCAGATGCCTGCACTGAGCTGGACACCCTCAGAGCAAGCTGGAACTTTTAGGATGATCAGAACAGACACATCTGAAGGGAAGGGCCTCCTCTTTGGAAAACAACCCCAAGGTACGGATTCCTAAGACTACCTTTGGTTTGGATTCTAATCTTTGGAATCCGTTTTTTTGTTTGTTTTGTTTTGTTTTGTTTTAGAAATAGGGTCTCACTCTGTCGCCCAGGCTGAAGTGCTGTGGCACGTGATCAGTTATAGCTCACTGTAACCTCGATCTCCTGGCCTCAGGTGATCTTCCTGCCTCAGCCTCTGGAGTGGCTAGGACTTCAGGCGCACCACCATGCCCGGCTAATTTTTTTATTTTTATTTTTTTTGTAGAGATAGGGTCTCGAAATGTTGCCCAAGCTGGTCCTGAACTCCTGGCCTCACGCGATCCACTGCCTTGGCCTCCCAAAGCGCTGGGATTACAGGGGTGAGCTACCACGCCTGCCCTGGGATCGTTTCTTAAAAAACTTTTCATTTGGAAAATTCTAAACACATACAAAAGTAGAGAGAATGATACAATGAACCACCATTTATTCATCACCTAGCTTCAACAATTTCAACTCATGGGAAGCCTGGTTTCATGTATGTTCCCGTTTACTATCTTCCCCCACGCAATACTGGGTTATTTACAGGCGAGTTCCCAGATACCATATAATTTCACGTGTAAATATTTCAGTACATATCTCTAAAAGATAAAGACTTTTAAAAACACATGACAATAATATTATAACTCCTAAAAAAAGAACAATAATTTCTTATTGCCACTAAATAATTGTATCAGTTTCAAATTTCCCCATCTTAGTTTTTTTACAGTTAGTTTGTTAAGTCAGGATCTGAATAAGGTCCATGTCTGCCATTTGGATGATGTATTTCCTAAGTCTCTTCTTATCTATGTGAATTTCTTGAGCCTTTACAGCTATCTTAACTAGGAACTCATTCCCAAAGAAGCAGAAGGTGCAAATGTGAGGCTTTAGTGAATACCTATTGTTTTTATCATCCTGAGAAATATACATAAATGAAGGGAATAAAAGAGATAATGAGGCCAGGTGTGGTGGCTCACGCCTGTAATCCTAGCACTCTGGAAGGTCGAGGCCGGCGGATTGTTTGAGCTCAGGAGTTCGAAACCAGCCTGAGTAAGAGCGAGACCCCATCTTTACTAAAAATACAAAGAAATTAATCAGACAACTAAAAATATATAGAAAAAATTAGCTGGGCATGGTGGCGCATACCTGTAGTCCCAGCTCCCCGGGAGGCTGAGGCAGAAGGATTGCCTGAGCCCAGGAGTTTGAGGTTGCTGTGAGCTAGGATGACGCCACGGCACTCTAGCCCAGGCAACACAGTGAGACTCTGTCTCAAAAAAAAAAAAAAGAGATAATGAGAGAGAAAGCATGAGAGATGATATTCTTCCATCTATTGACACACAGGATCTTGAGGCTAACTCCGTATTTGCGTACCTGTGATTCATTATGTGAGCCAACAAGTACCCTCCCCCTTTTTTTCTGAATTGGTTTTTAGTTGAGTTCTGTCATTTGTAACCAAGAGCCCTCAGGAAACTCTGCTATGATTTGGAGTACAGTGGCATCTTTTTAGGGATCAACCCATAGGATGCCTTTTGTAGAATCTGAATGAATCAAGCAAAGAACTTGCCTTGCAGAAGCTTGGTGGCTGAGTCCCACTTTTGCCTCCCCTGTAGACTCAGTCATAATTTGGATACAATAATTTACCTCTCACTTTCCTTACTGGGAAACCAAGTAATGACAATACAAAAGAATCTGATTAATATGTCATAAAAATCAGCATTTTATAATCATTTCAGAGTAGGTGTAAATCTACCTTTCTTCCACAGGACTTACTTTGAAGAAAGTACAAATTACAAGTATGAATGCAATTTCTTAGAGAACAGCTTCAAAATATTAAAAGGCTGCTATAGAGGCCCTCAAGCATTCTGGACATACCAGTTTACAAATAACTGGTACACCAATTACAAAGCATTCCTCCTTAACAATAAAAGCTGACCCCATTAGGACCTCTGCTAGAGTCTAACTTTCAGTCCCAACTGAGTTTCTGCATTGTTTCAAAGACCACAAAACAAAGTTCCTGCAAAAACAGTCTATGTTTCATTCTCTTAATCAATTCAGATGGGACATCTTCCCATCTCATGCCACCAGGGAGACTTTGACAAGCTAGTGTCTCATCTTTTAATTGTTTTCTCTTTTCTGGTATCCACTTTGGGTCCCTTTAGTACATGTTAGCATCTCTACCATGAAATTGGGAGGAAGAGGAAGACAAATAAAGGTCAAATCATCAGATTTAATATTTCTTGACAAATCTGGTAAAAAGTTTTCATGTTGCAGATAGAAACTGAGAAGTTATAACATATGATTTTTAAGATATCATCTTTGGATTTCAGTTACACATGCTAATATATGAGGTAGTCATATGTAGATACATAAACAAGCAAACATGAAATTTGGAGTTAATGGTAAGGGTTCCCAATTTTATAATTTATCTGTTGAATCTTGAACAAGTTGTTTAACCTCTCTGATTCTTATTTTCTCATCTGATGAATGGAGATGATAATATTGCCCACATTATTCATAGTAATTTATTTAAAAAATTTATTCTTTTAAATTGACAAATAATCATGTATATTTATGGGGTACTATGTGATGTTTTGATCTATGTATGTATTATAGAAAAAATAAATTAAGCTAATTAACAAATCCATCACCTTACCAACTTACATTTTTTTGTGTGTGGTGAGAACAATGAAAATCTATTCTTTTAGCCATTTTAAAATATACAATACATTATTATTAACTGTGGTCACCATGTAGTGCAACAGATTACTAAAACTTGTTCCTCCAGTCTAACAGACTGTACCCTTTGATCACCATTTCCGACACCTCCCCACAGCCTCTGGTAACCACCTTTCTACTCTGTTTCTGTGAGATTCGTTGTTTTGGATTCCACATGTTAATTTATTTTTAATCTGTCTCATTCAGAAGAGGATTTGAGGCTGCTGATAGAACTATAAATAAAATAAATGAGAAAAGGAAGGTTGTTAGAAAATGAGGATAAATAAAGAAAAAAAAGTTGGAGTAAATTCAGGACACCAATCAGCAAGCTGCCACATTTGGCCGAGGTGAACAGAAATTTACTCTAAGAATTTAGGAGAGCCAGTTACAAAATGGGCACAATCTCCAAGTGTCATGTCATCTCAGTGGAAGCTTAATTCTCTTCTGAAGACTGGGGATAATTTCCCTTTAGGTCCTCATTGATGGGGGAGCTGGATGATGACTAGGTCAATGTCCACAACAGTATTTCCATGGTGGACATGATATCATATCTCACGACTTCCGTTTCCTTTATCATCCTCTTTGCTGACCAATGGTGAGCTCACCCCAGGGCAGGTCAGCAAACACAATTCACAGGGGTGGGGCCTTATAAGAGGTGAGAATCAGGCTCTCTGATGGTTTTGCTTCAACTAGGGACCAAATTTCAAATATTTAGAGGCACGCATGGATGGCATATCTTTTATGTAAAGTTTCCCCAAATCTTATTTCTTGCAACAGAACTTTTAATACAATTGGACAGCAGAGATATAGTGGTAACCTGTTCCGGCAAGACTCAGAAGTGTAGATAACCTGACATGCAGAAGGGAAAACTGAGAGACTCACATAAAACATAAGGAGCCTAAACAGATAAAGGCTTGAATAATGGCCATTCTTTATTCCATCCACAGGCAAAGTCTAACTTACCAAATTGTTCTGGGTCAGCTCCATAAACAAAGAAGTGGACAATCAAGATCTCAAAGTCATGCACACTGGGAGATGGTTGTGATTATTTTAGCTTGAAATTGTTTTGAAAGCAGGTATCTCTAGATGCTCATAGAGACCATTAAAAAATAGTGAAGCAGTAAAGAACATCAAGGTTTAAGGAATATATGTGTTGATGAATTAGTTGCAAGTAGACTCTTGAAATGTCTTGAGGATTAAATGAGATGATACCAGTGAACCTGTTTTGTAAAGTGCTATGAAAATCTCAGTTACTATTATCAGAATCCCATCTGTACGATGATCAGTAATTGGCTCTGCTATGGCCCAGGCTTGCCTTAGTGAAAAACACAATCACAGAAAACATACAATTAAGCATCCTGACATCACGGATTGCTATACAGTAATAACAAACAATAAAATCTTCCTCACGACTCTCTTGTCTTCACTGAAATTCTCCAGGATAGAGACCATGGCACCCACCTCGTCCACTGATGGGTACAGGGCAAAGAGCTCGGCCTGCCGATTGGTCCTCCGGGCCTCCTCATTTTGCTTCTCAAAGTCCTCGGCACTCACGTGCTGCAGGAGGTTTTCTAGTCGCTGGTCAGGCTGCAGGCTGCGGAGGTCAAAGTCACAGGCAGTGAGGGGGCCTTTCCCAGACACATCGCACAGCACGTTCAAGCGGCGGGGCCCTGTCTGGGAGAGAAAACAGCGGGTCCAAAACGAGAACAAAAGAATCTGGGATGTCTCAAGACTGCTCCAATCTGGGACTATACAATCTGAAGCCTCAAGTTTTCTGAAGAAACTGGGGATTTGACAAGAATGATGTCGTATCTTCCTGGCCGGACTATCCTTAAATTATATGTCTCCTTCTAAGCTGGAAGCAGGTAGTTACTCGTCAGATGTCCATAAACCAGTCCTGAGGAGAGGTTTGAAAATAGCACTGTGTTCCTACTAGCTGTTGGAGCATTCTTTCCTGGAGGTTGGCAGCCAAGTCACTTAATGAACCACACGTCTCACGCTCAAGCAAAACAGAGCTGGACTAAGGTGTGACGAAAAGGAGACTGGACTGGGAAATAACGAGACCCCCTTCTTAGTCTCCACGCCAGAGCTTGGATTTGAAATTGGAAAATAAAGTGACCTGTGAGGCCTTCCAAATTCAACTTTATATAAACTCCAAAGCTGAATGTTAGGTTTCCAAAGACAAAGTTGTGGAAGCAGGAAACATTTTCCTACAGGACTTAAGTAGCATTTATAGGAATAAGCACAAAAAAAAAAAAAAAAAAGGAAAAGCATTTGGTATTGAAGCAGTATCCACTTTAGCTGTGCTTGTTTTAGTGTACTTGAAAAAAAACAGTCTTAAATGAGTGACAAAGTAGATGATTTATTCCATTAGAAATGTTTTGGTAATTGAGGACTACATGCCTAACTGAAAACCCAGCAAAGCACAAATAACTGTAAACAACAATATGTTGTAAGACATATCTATCACAGATAGATCAGTGATAAACATCTATAAAATTTATGGTAAAATGTTATTCTCAAACTTCTACTAAATGGACATACTACTGTACAATTTCTCTATAGTATATATGTTTTTTGTGGCATCTAGCCTACCTCATAAAATTGCTACTCTGCTAGATGATAAATTTTACCCAAACTAGCAATAATCAATATTGACACTTTCATTAGTAATATTTTAAGCCTTTTCATTTTTATAACTTTTCATTTTATCACATTTTTCATTTTCGAATTTAGCTTTCTGACTCTGCTTGTGCCTTCAACACGTTCTCAAGATATTTTCTGCTCCTCAATACGGAAAACATGCTTGGTCCTGTCACGAACACATTTAGCACACATGGAACCACCATAGGCCCTGCTGACATTTTTTTTTGTTTTAGACAACCTCATCTGAACTTTAGGTCTCATAGCACAAACCCCTCGGAGCCTGCCTGCAGACAGGCCGTATGCAGATTTTAGTGCTTTTCCAACCTTCTTGGTATAAAGGTAAACAACTCTATCACCAGGTGTTCGGGACAGCCTACTTTTGTTAGGGGCTATACTGCAGGAAAGCCTACGGCAGTATGTCAAACACTGGACATTCTGAGTGCCCCTACACCAGCTCAAAGGACTGTTCTGGGAGCTCTTGGCTCCTGCAATGTCTCAGGTGGCAGCTGATTGTAAAGGGAACAGAGATGAAGAAAAAATTAGCTTCCATACCTAGACAGTGTCCCCAGAAGAACTAATTAGTAATACTTTTATTTGTCTTAGAATTAATAAGAGTTCGGAGAAAATGAGTTTAATTTCCCAAGTTTATTTAAAAGGATGTCAAGCTATATATGTGTCGAAAGTCTTAAAAAAGCTCGTATCCTTTAATCCAGAAATTTCACTTCTAAGAATTTATCCTAAGGGTATAACTGGACAAGTGTGCAAGGATGTGAGGACAAGAGCATCTCTGAAACACTATTTGTAACAGCAAAATAGTAGAAACAAACTAAATGCCCCCCAAAAGAGGAGGCATTAAGAGGTTTTGGAAGTTTCATACAATGGAAAGTTATGTAGCCATTAAAAAAAAAAACATGTATTCATTGGAAAAGAAAGATAATCACAGTATATTGTTAAGATGAAAAACGAAGTTACACAATATTATGTGGAAGTTACATAATATTATGTGCAATATGGCCTACTTTTTATGAATATGTGTGTACCATGGAGTCATACCACATATGTGTCTGACTTTTATAAATTCAGGCATTTGGCATCACCACTCCACTCAGTCAGAATGTATGCAAGAACGAGAGTGGAATGGAAAAGGTTGCTGGTCGTCTCACGGTCTAAGCATCTCTCCATGATGAATATTATTCTACTACTTCAAGACATACAACTTTGGTACAATTTGGCTCTTTTTAAAATTTTTAATTGACACATAATTGTACATATTTTTTGGGTACAATGTGATATTTCAATGCCTGTATACAATGTATAATGATCAAATCAGGGTAATGAGCATAGCTGTCACCTCAAACGATGATCATTTCTTTGTGTTGGGAATGTTCAAAATCTTTTCTTCTAGTTAATTGAAAATATAGAACAAGTTATTGTTAACAACTATAGTCCCCCTGCAGTGCTATAGACCTGTGGTCCCCAGCCCCGGGCTGTGGACCGGTACTGGCCCATGGCCTGTTAGGAAGCAGGCCGCACAGCAGGAGGTGAGCTGTGGGCAAGTGAGCGAAGATTCATCTGTATTTACAGCCGCTCCCCATCGCTCACATCACCGCATAAGCTCCGCCTCCTGTCAGATCTCACAGGAGCTCAAACCCTACTGTAAACTGCACAGTGAGGGACCTAGGTTGCGTGCTCCTTATAAAACTTTAATGCCTGATGATCTGAGGTGGCGTTGAGGCAGTGACGCTAGCCACCGGAGAGCAGGTGCAAATGTAATAAATGTAATGGCTTGAATCATCCTGAAACCATCCCCCCTCCACCCGGGTCTGTGGAAAAACTGTCTCCCACGAAACCAGTGCCTTGTGCCAAAAAGGTTGCCAGAAAGGTTAGGGAAGGCTGCTATAGAACAGTAGAACTTATTCCTCCTGTCTAGCTGTAACTTTGTATCTGTTAACCAACCTCTCTCTATTCATACCACCCTTCCCAGCCTCTAGTTACCACTATTCTACTCTCTACTTCTATGTTATCAATTTATTTAATTCCTACATATGAGTAAGAACATACAATATTTATCTTTCTGTGCCTGGCATTTTTCATTAAACATAATATTCACCAGTCTCATCCATGTTGCTGCAAATAACAGGATTTCTTTCTTTTCTATGGCTCAATAGTATTCCATTGTGTATATGTACCACATTTTCTTTATCTATTCATCTGTTGATGGACGCTTAAGTTGATTCCATAACTTGGCCATTGTGAATAGTGTTGCAATAAACATGGCGGTGCAGATATCTCCCTGACGTACTGATTTCCTCTCCTTTGTATATATGCCCAGTAGTGGGATTGCTGGATCATATGGTCAATCTGGCTCTTAAATCCATCCAATTGACTTAGTCGAGTGCTCTGTTATTGGCTGTAGGACAGAGTGTGCTTTATTATGTACTGGTCTTCAGCTATTGTCTCTCAGCTCCAAACGCACCCTTGTGTACTGCTCTGTGATGCTAGATCTGGGACTCAGAAGACCATGTTTCTGCTTCGTCTGCAGCTCCTGCAGGCTTTGTCAATAGGGGTGCTACAGGGATGCTGGATGCCTGGAGGAGGGAGAAGTGACTTGCAGTTCCTCTTATCTTGGTTCCACCCTTCAGATTCTTTTGGCAGTTCCAAAGCCATCCTCATCTTACCTTCTTGAAGGTACCAGCACCAGCTGGGAAATCTCTCCTCCTAGGAGGTCTGAGTCCAGACTCCATGAGGTCTTTCTTCTGAGATCCTGAGATACCACCAGCTGGGCAGTGCTCCGTTCTCAGAGATCTGAGTCCTTGCTCTGAGGCTCCTCTTCTGAGCTTCTAGTTTCTAACAACTCTAAGCTCTTCCCCTAGACCTGTGGTCCTCAAATTGTGGTCCTGAAACCAGCATCATCATCATTGTTTGGGAAATGCTAATTAGAAATCATCAGGCCCCACTCCAGACCTGTTGAATCAGAAATTCTGGCAGGTAGGGCCCAGCAACCTGTGGTTGAACAAGCAACCCCCTCAGGGGATTCTGCTAAAGCTCAAGTCTGAGAACCACTCCTCTAGATCCCAGCCCCAGGGTGGTGTGCTATTTCCTGTAGTTATGATTTTGGTATGACCTCAGTTGTCCCTTTTGGTTTTCCCAGTCCTCCAAAACCTGTATAATCAATTTCCTGTGTTAAATTTCTTCTGTTGAAATACATAGTGTGGCTTCTGTCTAGCTAATACAAGGAACAATTTAATAGTTGATCATTATGTAGGGAAAAAACTGAATTTAGTCAAAATTAACAATGAAAAATCCCTTAAATTTTCTACAGAGTAGAGCATACAGGTATTCCATCCCTCAGTATGCCTGTCACATTCAGCACCGGAACTGATGGTTGGTTCCTCTGTGAAGCTCATATTAAGTAGTTGGCTTGGCTTTAGGGACCATGTTGTTTGAAAAGTAAGTATTATTTTCAAGCCCCTAATAATATTGAGCATGGTGAGATGTCTGTGTTATGAGGACACATGAAAGCCGAAAATTATACTAGTTTACAAGACGTTCTGTGCAAACTTGGACAAATTTTTTCTTCTTGTTTTTTTCTCATCTATAAAATGGGCAGGTTAGATTAGAGCAATGGCTTTTTAAAAAATTACTTGTAGTAAAACATACATAACATAAAATTTACCATCTTAATAATTTTAAGTGTACAGTTCAGTAGTGTTAAGTATATTCACATGGTACGACAACCATCACCACTGCTCATCTCCATAACTTTTTTCCTCCTGCAAAGCTGAGATTCTGTACTCATTAAACAATAGCTCCCCATGCCTCCCTCCCCCACCCCCAGACAACCACACTTTGTTTATCCATTTATTCATGGATGGACCCTCGGGTTGCTTCCACCTCTCGGCTATTGTGAATAATGCTGCTGTGAACATGGGTGTAGAGAACTTAACTTTTGGAGACATGAAATTTATTGGCTACTGTTTTTTTTTTGCTATTTTATGAAAATGAATGCTTGCTTTCTTTTCTGTCTTCTAGTTTGTTAGAGTATTTTCTGGAGTTCTTTACATGGATCCCAAAACTATTGACAAACGGGCATTAAAAAAAATTAGTTACAAGTTAAAAGTTCATTTCACAAGATATATTCTTTAACCTGACTTTTAAACTGTAACTACTTTATAATAATAATTAATGACAACAACAATAACAGTGACCAGCATTTCCTGGGCACTAAGTGCAGTTGGCATTGTTCTAAATCTTTACACATATTAACCCACTTAATACTCAAATAATCTCATAAACTGGTTAGTATTATCAACCTTGTTTTCCAGGGGAGAGTTGCATTACCCTGTCTGAGGTTATAGAGTTAGTAAGTGGTAGAATTAGTAGGAGAATGAAGGCAGTCTGGCCTCAGTGTGGAGCTTTTAATTGCTATGCAGTCTGCCTAGGGGCTCCCTTGAGTCTCTGCAGGAATTGTTCTAGGGATGGGCCCAAGGTGTCCCCCTCCCCCAGTTAGAGCCCCTTCACTTTGATCTATTTTAATCATGGAACTTCTTGGTTTTTGTTTGAACACCAATTTCTGTACCTACAAACAATTTGAAAAAAAAAATAACAGTGACTCAGATGGTCGCGTTCCTCTTACTCAAACATTCTGTGAGTCTAACCTTTATTCTGGTTTTACAAGCTGACAGCGTGACCTGGGCAGAACGGCCCAGTAACCCAGTAACCATGTTTGTTGATGGGAAATACCTGAGTGGTGGGTTCATTGCACTCCAAGGTTTCTGACTCAAAGGTCTGTTTCTGAAGAGTCTTGTGAAAATCTTTTCGAGATCCAGTCTTTTTAAAGCTGCAAATCTCCGAACTTCCTTGGTTTCTTTTATTGTTGATATGATTTAATTGGAAGACAGAAAGAGAGAGAGAGACAGGCAAAACCATTAGATTAAAATAAAAGTAATGGCTTAAGCGTAGACATGGTGTGGAGAGAGCTTTCAAAGAGAGGACCAATTGTAATTCCTCACATCTAATTAAGCACCAAGCCTAATACAAGGCTCCGTTGTAATGAGATACAAACTTGCCTCCTGGCTGGCTCATTATTAAAGGCAGGCATGGCCTGGGAAAATGCCACTTCAGAGGTGCGGTCATTTCAGCTGTGGGGCATTTGGCTCCAAGCTGAAGCTAAACTATGACCCTAGTGTATGTAAGAGGCTGGAATAAATCTAGCAATGTGCAGAAGCAGCAAATAGAGATCGTTTGAAGATAAAAATAGAGAAAACCATTTAATCTCCACATTAATGTTCTTTATAATGAATAACAAAGGCAAGACATGCTTAAGAAAAAATAGAAATAAATGATTTATCTACTGAAAGTCTTTGCTAACATTAGAAATCCCCCTTCTACGAACTCCATTAAAATCGTGTTTAAAAAATATGTAGCTATGCAAAGGGTTTAAAATAGAACGTCTAGCACTGTCACTGGAGAAGTGAGACCGGCATGAGAAAGGCAACAGATATTCAAGTGATGACTAGAGAAACCGGCGTGTGTGTTCCCCATTTTTATGACTCAAAGGTTTCTTGGAAAACATGCTGCAAGGTCAAATGCATAAACACACACCATTTATTAGAAAAACCACTGGGCAAGCAGGTAAAAAGGGACAGGAAGTGAGGGCAGAATGTATTGGGCAGATCGAATGCCAGAGAGATAAAGCAGGAAATGTAGGAGAGCTACTAGCAATGATCCAGTACAGAGTATGTAACTCCTTGAAAGGAAGGGGTGTCGGAGGGAGGGAGTGGCACCCACAGAGCAGGTGTTTGATAATTGCTTGAATTAATTAAAGAAAGAATGAGATGCCCCAGTGTCATCCGTAGGGAGAACAGGACTCTCTCTCTCTGGATTTTATTGTGCTCTGAAGACAAGCAATTTGTTTTGAGCACAAGGAGACAAGAAACTACCTAGAAAACAGACACAATCAGCTCGGTGACTAATTCAAGATGAAGTACACTGTAACTGGCCATCCTCGATGTCTCTTGGCCATCTGAATTGCCCTGACCCAAATCTGTATTAATAGGGCTGGGTAAAAAGCAGGCCAAATTGGGGAAATGAAAAAAATAAATAAATGAAAAAAGTATACTCTGAATAAGGAAATAAAACTAAGTATTTAGAAAAGATTTTGAGAAAAATATCCAGAATAATTTCTGGTTTGGGATTCCTAAACACCAGCAAAAAACAAACAAAAATTAAAATATAAACTATATTGTTCATAAACATTAATAAACAAAAAGTATTTTGGAGACTCTTTTAAACAAGTCATCAGAAGTAGTAATTATTTAAACTATTTATGAAAATTATTTTGGTTCCAGTTGCTCTAAGAGTGCAAATGGTAGCAGTAAAAAAGAGTAGAAATACATATTAGCAAAATTATTTTGTAAGATTTATTTTCTATTAACAGAGTTCTTTGAAAGAAATCCTCACCTGGGATTTTATAAGCCTGCTAGCTTCTTAAAAGTTATCCTCACCAACATACATTTAGGCAGCAACGTGTATATGTGTGCTGGGTGGGCAAGCTTTCCTAAAGGCATTCCCTAAAATGACTGTTTTTGGATTCTCTCTAGGAGCTCAAAGAAAAAAAATGTTGTGTGTGATCTAACATCTGGGGGAGAAGAGGGAAACCAAATCAAAGTAGTGGCAAATATAGGCAAATATGAAGTTGTGGCCTAAGATTATACTACCCCAAATGACAACACACTGAATCTGTGTTTATTTTTCCCTAAAAGTCCAATCATAAGGGGAAATATTACTAAAGAAATCGCCTAACATGAATTCATTCTAAGATCAAAACAAACAGTGAGTTAAAATTCAAATTTCACATTTTGGTATTTACCCTTTGCCTGTGTTAGGACCTGCGAAAGGTATTAATGTCAAAGGTTCAATATCACGTGGCTGTTTACAAGGAAACCTTCTTAGGCCACAGAAATAAAAATTAGGAAAGTAGCCTAGCTAAAGACCTTTTGTGTGGCAGCCTCAGCTACCAGAACTATATCTGCTTTAGCTTTATTTTTTGTTTTATAGTAAAATGCACCTATTTCCAATAGTGTTTACTTACAAGTGAACATCTCACACACACACACACACACACACACACACACACACACACACACACAGCATGCCTGTGTCCATCATCCTCAAGTTACTTCTCCCTCTATGCCTCTGTTTCTTCATAGGGTGAGGCATGGACGTGAAGTGAATGCCCAGAAGTTTTCCCCAGCTTTAAGATTCATGATAAAAAGTTTATACACTATATCTGAAAAAATCATAACTTTTAGGGATCTGCTTAACTTTTAGGGACCTGAAATTTATTTGGTTTCTTTGGCTATCATTTGCAAATGCATGCTTGCTTTCTTTTCTGCCTTCCATTTTCTTAGAATGTTTGCACCCCACAGCCAATGACAAATGGGCATTTAAAAAGTTAGTAATGGGATGGTGTTAAAAGTTTATTTCACAATGTACACACTTTAACCTGATAGATATGCCAGCCTTCAGCGTTTTTGCTATGGAAAGCATTAAGACTAGCATCTTCCATGACCATGTGTTTGAAACCAGAGCAAACTTCTCTCCCCTTCCTCATAATAGATTTAGCATCTACTTCCCCGTTGTAAATTCTCAGAAAGTTGCAAAGCTCCCTCACGGCAGTGAGGGTGCGGCTGGCTGAGGAGGAGAAGACAAGGGTTGGCAAGCATGGAAAGATGACTCATTCCAGAAGTGCTGGCCGCAGAGAGAACCACCACTGGGTAGGTAGTGCGACTGCTGGCTCAGTGCCACTGGCTGCAAGTGAGAGTCCCAGCCTCATTACCCGGCCCTGGCGACTGAGTCAAAGACAGCCGAGTTCCTGTTGAGCCCGTGTGCAGACAGGAGAAGGATGGGGAAGCAGGCCAACTGCTAGAAAAACCATCTTCGTGAAATGAACACTATTGCTTCCCAGAACTGTATTCCTTTTCTTAAAACACTGTTCTTACACATTTGAAGACAATCCAAAGGCTGAACATATTCTGGGAGCATTCTCTTTCAAGGCAGTGTGGTGCAGCAGACAGAATCTGGGCTCTAGAGTCAGAAGGACCTGGGTTCAGGTGCTGGCTCTTTATGTCCCAGCTAAGAGATCTTGGGCAAGTGACTTAACCTCTCTGAGCCACAGCTTCCTCAAGGGTGAAATGGGGCAAAATGTGGCTCATTTTGAGGGCCTATAGTGAGGTTTAGAAATTACATATGTTCATTTCTTTTCCTCTTCCCTTTACCTTCGCTTTCCCACCCCCTCTCCCCTTCACTTCCCCGCGTTCCTGTACAACCTGGTGCTAGCATCGTAAGGTGCCTCAGAACAAGGCAGTCATCTGTGTCTCAGGGTGGGGGGCACCGGGTGAGGCCCAGAATGGGACGCTGAAACCCAGACAGGGTGAGGAGGACATTCATTTGAAAAGGACTGCCTGGCATGGGGAGTCAGAACCCACATGGTGTGAGGAGGCACCCCAGCCTGGGGCAGCTTGGCACGTGGGAACAGAGCCTGGGCGGGGCCTTAGCGCGTCTGGGTTGGTGGGGAAGGAGTCTGCGCACACAGGTCGAGAGTGGCTCGGTGATATCCACAGCGCGCTGCTCTCTGTTCCTGCATAGGCTGATGAGCCTGGCCTGCTTTTCACACTTTAGAAAGCAAATAGTGGAGCACCTTGACAGCCAGCACAACAAATGCATGTCATAATAAGCAATTATTGATCAGGGAGACATTTTTATGATGTTTTGGGGAGTAACTGAATTATATGCACTGATGTGTTTGAATTTTAATTGTTTACCAGTTCACTGGGAGTAAAATATGGAGTAATAAAACAGATGATACCCCATTCCTTGATATCCCAACTCTCCTTGAGCACGACCTTCCTTCAGAATTACCTTAATCACTCTGAATGAGAGACAAAGTCTAAGGGCTTTTATGATGCTGCCCATAACACTCATGAAATGTTTCACTGTCGCTGCGGATAATACACCGAGAATAAACAGTATGGAAACAAGTTTAATCACTTAAGAGTTCGGCTCTCCACCAAGACAGCAAAAACATTCTGAAGTTAGTCCCTCTTTGTTTCATTTAGAGAAAATGACAGAGGAAATAATGCTTAAAATACTTAATATCCCACAAAGGATGTCATCAGACATTAATCCACACAAAATATATGGCAATAAGATGAGATAGACAAGCCAACATGGCACCACGCTAGTCATTAAACCAATAGTCATTTTCAAAAGTCATGGAGAGAAAAGTACTATTACTTTTAGAGCAAGGAAACCAAACTTGGTGCTATAGACATGAAAAACAGAATGGAACTCATTCAAGGAATCTTCCAGTCTAAGTAACACAGACGAACATTTCAAGTAAGAAAATACATTTCCCCAGAAAGGAGACAATGCGTTTCATGTTTCTTTATAGTTTAATCTTTCCCTATCAGGTTAAAAAGTTTTAGAACTTTCCTCTGTCATTCATGGGCAGCACTATTTGTATGATTTAAATGTCTCAATTATAGAATGTGAGTGGCAAATGCCCTATAGAATGATGAGAGTGGGAGGGAACACAAGTGGCCATTACTCCACTCCTCTGCACCCTAAGTGGAATTCAAAGTCATTATTACAGATAGCAAGGGCATAAAAGCTTATCTCTAGATATTTATAGAGAAATGTAATATCAGCAAGGAGATAATTGAGAATAAAAGAGCTAACTAAATCAGTGTTTGACTGCATGATTCTGGATGACAGAGACATGTCCATGGAAGGCAAAGTGGCTTCATTAAGGAAGGCAGGTCCGTCCACCCACGGTGCATTAAAATGTATGGGATAGAGTTTTTT